AATTGCCTTACTTTTATTTTATTGTACTTGTCCAAACAGCATTATTTTTTATAATTTCCCTAAATGGTTTATTCAAAGCCAGGTGTTTGCAATTCAATGCCTTCAGGATGGATTGAGAGGAGCTAGAGTGGTGATTTTGCATGGCAATTTGCATGATATTTTTATACTATGTAATCTATAAATTGTAATGTCTTTCGGTAAAGAGGATTAGCCATAGGAAAGTTCGTTGATACAGAGATGGCCACTTCTGGGAACGGAGAACACAATTTTGCATGGCTGAGCTTTGTTGTTGTAGTAGGAATTGGCTTTGTACTTGGACTATTAGTACACTCCTTTATAGTCGCTGTGAGCGTCATGGACTGGGTAAAAAGAAGACCCGTGGCCACATCCGATCAGGTCATCGCCTCCATCGGAATTTCAAGACTCGTTTTTCAGTTTGCCAGTCTCCTCCATATGTTTTTTGCAATTTTCGTTGATAATAGCTACCTAAATTTTTTTTTGATTACCATGAAGGTCATATCCAACTACAGCAGTATCTGGCTGATGACTTTGCTCTCTGTTATTTTCTGCTCCAAGATCTCTAACTTCCAGAATGCCTTCTTCTTCAAACTGAAAACCATTTTAACCCAGAAAGCTGTCCATCTCATTGCTGGTTCTGTAATAGTGGCCATCTTTTGTGCTGCCCTGCAAACCTGGTTTGACCTCACGGCGGACTTAACAAACGCAACACAAGCCTTTGCAATCACTGGAACACATAAAATGCAAAGAAATTTGAAATATTTCACATATTTTATTTTGGGAAACACAGTGCCGTTCCTCATATATTTTGCGGCATCGTTGGTGGTTATCTTCTTCGTGTGTCTCCACATGAGAGAAATGAAAACAAATTCTGACTATTCATTCAGTTTGGATAGTTATTACGCTGCATTCAAAACTGTGGCATACTGCTTTTTATGTTATGCCCTTCATGTTGGCAGCAATCTAATTGTCCTGTATTATATAGATTCTCTTTCTGTTGTATGGATCAATGTCATTTTAAATATTTTTCCTGCTTTACACTCTGTGATCCTGATCTACAAAACACCCAAGCTGAAGACTCAGTTCTTAAGGTTGCTCTGACGTGGAACCAGCTGTACATTCCATAGAGAAGGTTCAGAACCCTTGAGATGTCTACTCACTGAACAATGGTCAACTACTACTAATTCCCTGTCAAGAATTGAGAACCGTAAAGAAGCAGTGGCCGTCTTGACATAAAAAGCAGATCTTCTCAAAGACAGCATTGGCTTTAAAGGACTACCCCTCTACTCATTGTATATGGTGCACTGAACAACTGGAGTAGACACCATGGACCTCACTATCTAACAGCCACTTTCAAGATGTTCAGCTTTTCTTCCTGATATTACCGGCATTCTGTCCAGTTTGATCGGTTAACAATCAATAAGGAAGCCTCCAGCTTTGATATCGAGGTGCATATGGGTGTGCTAAATACCAACCTATCAAACTTTGTATCAAGTGTATGCCCAATTTGATGAGCCCTATAACTGAGACTTTGGGCTTGTCTTCGAAAGTTCTTAATAGCTAGTCCAACTCTTCCACGGGTAAATTGACCCTTGCCACAGCTTCTTGGAGTAGACTCAAGGCAGCAGCTTTTTTAATGTAGACAATAACTTAAAGTAGAGCTATAGGTATAACTTTTTGTTTTCATTTTGGATAGAGCAAGGGAGGGTTATAACCCCTGTCAGATTTTTGTTCGTCATCTGTGTCCCATTGTGCAGATTTCCCTTCACTTTTTGTCCCATAGCCAGACAGGAAGTGAGAGGAAATCCATGCAAATTAAGGAAATTTCTTGGGGATCCCCAGGCCACCCCATTGAAAGATTTGCCCTTTTTTGGGGACAACCCAAAATTTGGAATTTTTTTTTACTTTCACTTTCAATAATCATGGTAAACAGGACAAATATAGAGGGTGAATCCCCTTAATGGGGGCACAGACAGAAATAAAATCTGACAGGGGTTCTAATCCCTCTCCAATCTATACAAAAAATAAGTTTTGCCTTTAGCTATACTTTAAACACATCTAAAAACCTAATCCCTAACAGCTCATATAATCTTTAGCATGTTAACATTTCTTGATGACCCACAGTACATTTACTGCGAGTGGGCGAGCGGCACGGACAGGCTGGATCATGCATATGTACTTCATCCAGCCTGTTCCGGGTTAGGGATGTGCATGTGCTTGCCGCCTGCTCAGCTGCTCTGTCACTGGCTACAGTGGGGTTTTGTCAGCAGGTCCTGGCCAATTATTTATGGCTGATACAGTACCTGCTGATCGGTTGTAGCCAATCACAGAAGAGAGTCCAGTGTTTACAAACACACAAGGCTCTGTACACAAATCAGCAATCTGGCTGTTTCTTATCCCTGCAAAGCAGAGGAAAAAACAGTCAGATCTGTTAGTAAAAGCAGCACACATTCGAGAAATTACACTTGTTAGGCACAAAGTTAACCCTTTGATTGCTCTTGATGTTAACCCCTTTCCAGCCAGAGTCATTAGTACAGTGACAGTGCACAGTATTATATCTGATCACTGTATTAGCGTCACCATTCATGGCAGTGTCCCAGCCAGTGTCTGTTAATGCCAGATTGGCTGCCACACTATCACATTCCTACTATAAGTCACGGATCTCTGCCATTACCAGTATAGCATCATAGCTGCCTAGATTCCAGCATACAGTGCCTTGAAAAAGAATTCATACCCCTTGAAATGTTCCACATTTTTGTCATATTACAACCAAAAACGTAAATGTATATGGGATTTTATGTGATAGACCAACACAAAGTGATACGTAATTGTGAAGTGGAAGGAAAATGATAAATGATAAATGTTTTCAACAGTTTTTACAAATAAATATCTGAAAAAATGTGGCGGCATTTGTATTCAGCCCCATGTCATATTCAATAACATGACAAAATGTGGAACATTTCAAGGGTATGAATACTTTTTCGAGGCACTGTATATACCATCATTTGTAATTTTCACATATACCAACAAATATACACTTATTGGGATATTTTATTTTTACCAAAGACATCTAACAGAATACATTTTAGCCTAAATGTATGAAGAAATTAATTTTTTTTTTTATATAATGGATTTGTTTTATAACAGAGAGTAGAAACTATCTTTTGTCAAAAATTTCTGTCTTTTTTTGTTTATATAATTAAAAATAAAAAAACAGCGGTGATCAAATATCATCAAACAAAATATCTCTGTCTGGGAAAAAATGATGTAAATTTCATTTGGGAACAGCGCTGCATGACTGAGCAATTACTAGTTCAAGTAGCACAGTGCTGAATAGAAAAAATGTCCTGGTTGAAGGGGGTAAAATCTCAGCTCAAGTGGTTAAAGTATATGTAAATCCTCACCTTGTAAGACGACCCATTCAGTTTAAAATAGAAATAAAAGACATACATACATATATATATATATGTATATATAACAAAAAAAAAATATATATATATAGTATATACCCACATTATAAATACCTTTTTTATAAAATTATCACATACACTTGGGAGGGGAGGAGAAACAGCAGAACACTGATCTTTCCAGTGCAGGTTGGGGGGGGGGGTGTCAGTATAAGTCTGATCATATATATATATATATATATATATATATATATATATATATATATATATATATATATAACAAAAAAAAATATATATATATAGTATATACCCACATTATAAATACCTTTTTTCTCATTTTTATAAATTATCACATACACTTGGGAGGGGAGGAGAAACAGCAGAACACTGATCTTTCCAGTGCAGGTTGGGGGGGTGTCAGTACAAGTCTGATCATTGGAGAAGATCAGGTTGAGCCCCAGCACAGCTGGAAACTGACCATGCTGTGCTATGATGCCTAGTATGGTCAGTTGATAGGAAAGCAGAGGAACTGGCAGGAACACCGGGGATTTCAGACAAAGGAAGCAATACAAAGTGAACAGGAGACTTCTTCATACAAGTACATGGTACAGTAGGCATATATCTAAAATTAATTTGTAATTTTTTTTAATCTGCTTTTTTTTGGGGGGGGGGGTGTTTTTTTTTGGTAGCTTTCTTGTCTGAGTATAGGTCTATGCTTGTCCCAAGCATGTTTGAAGCCATTTACTGTTGACTGGCTCACTACATTGTAGAGATGTGGGGTATTACTGATCCGGATCTCTGTCACTGCTTATTTCTATCACAAGCGTATGAATAAAAAAGTAATAAAATAAATAAAAGATACATTTTAAAGCGCTCATGTGCTGTGATGAACTCATACGTAGGTCCCGCCCACATGTATAAATAGTGTTCAAAACACATATGCAAGGTATCTTTGCGAACGTCAGAGTGAGAGCAATAATTCCAGCACTAGAACTCTAAACTGGTAACCTGCAGACATTTTTAAAGCGCTACCTATGGAGATTTTTAAGAACAGTAGTTTGGCACCATTCCACGAGCATGCGCAATTTTAAAGCATGACATGTTGGGTATCTATTTACTCGGCATAACATCATTTCTGATATTGTACAAAAAAATTGAGTTAAACGTTGTGTTTTGTTTTTAATTCATTAAAGTGTATTTTTTCCAAAACAATTGCATTTGAAAAATCTATAGGGCTTTTTTTTTTGGAATGGTTGAACTGGATGGACTTTTGTCTTTTTTCAGCCAGACTAACTATGTTTAGCTCTTGAATGGTAATTCATTTCAATGGCCAATATAAATTATTATTCTGGACAATTTAATGAATTAACGTCCAAGCGCATCACGTTTGTAAACGCTTGTAAAAGCATTAACTACTTCAACAAGCGTCAGTCGGTTTATTTTCCAAAAACACTACTGCCAGGAGAAAGGCTTTTAGGAGTATTTTTAATGTCCTGTGTGCGTAAGGCCTTAAAAAATAATAATAATATTAATCATTATATACTTACCTGATCTGTGCAATGGTTTTGCACAGAGCAGTCCTGAACCTCCTCTTCTGGGGCCCCCTGCTGGCTCTCCTGGCTCCTCCCCTTCTCTGAGTGCCACCAGAGCAAGCTGCTTGCTATGGGGACACTCATGCAGGCTTGAGTGCTGCCGGTGTCCATAGACACAGTCCCCACACCCCCAGCTCCCAACTTCCAGGATATGATTGAGAGCTGCAGGAGCCAGTGGCTCCTGCTGCTGTCTCTGAGCCGGACACTGCATTCAGTATGTCCGCTCTCCCCGGACCATGCATTCACTATATCTGGTCTCCCCAGACCATGCATTCACTATATCTGGTCTCCCCGGACCCTGCATTCACTATATCCGGTCTCCCCGGACCCTGCATTCACTATATCTGGTCTCCCTGGACCATGCATTCACTATATCTAGTCTCCCAGGACCCTGCATTCACTATATCCACTCTCCCAGGACCCTGCATTCACTATATCTGGTCTCCCCGGACCCTGCATTCACTATATCCGGTCTCCCCGGACCCTGCATTCACTATATCAGATCTTTCCGGACCCTGCATTCACTATATCCTCTCTCTGTGGACCCTGCATTCACTATATCCGGTCTCCCCGGACCCCGCATCCACTATATTCGCTCTCCCCGGACCCTGCATTCACTATATCCGGTCTCCCCGGACCCTGTATTCACTAGATCCAGTCTCCCTGGACCCTGCATTCACTAGATCCGCTCTCCCCAGACCCTGCATTCACTATATCCGGTCTCCCCAGACCCTGCATTCACTATATCCGGTCTCCCAGGATCCTGCATTCACTATATAGGGTCTCCCCGGACCCTGCATTCACTATATCTGGTCTTCCCGGACCCTGCATTCACTATATAGGGTCTCCCCGGACCCTGCATTCACTATACCTGGTCTTCCCGGACCCTGCATTCACTATATCCGGTCTCCCCAGACCCTGCATTCACTATATCTGGTCTCCCCGGACCCTGCATTCACTCTATCCGGTCTCCCCGGACCCTTCATTCACTATATCTGGTTTCCCGGACCCTGCATTCACTATATCCGGTCTCCCCGGACCCCGCATCCACTATATTCGCTCTCCCCGGACCCTGCATTCACTATATCCAGTCTTCCCAGACCCTGCATTCACTATATCTGGTCTCCCCGGACCCTGCATTCACTATATCCGGTCTCCCCGGACCCTTCATTCACTATATCTGGTCTCCCCGGACCCTTCATTCACTATATCCGGTCTCCCACAGTACACAAAACATGGAAATGTAATTATTTTAGTAAATATAAACTGCTAAATACCTTTTCTCATCAGCAGTTAGAGCAGTCTTGTGACTTCTATCAGTGTTCAGCAAAGCACTGGTTAAAGCTTGTAGGAGGAGTTTTATTTCTGCTCTAGGAGGATGCAGAACCCCTGACCTCTGTCTGGACAGTGCTGATTGGCCCTGTGCTGATCACATGCACTCTCCCAAGAACAAAAAAAAAAAACCTCTCTAGCAATACACACCAAACTGAAAATGAGATAAGAGGTGGTCACTTGAAAAATGGAGGAGCAGAGCAGAAAGGATCAAACATCCTTTTTACACAATGCAGAGGATTAACCCCTTAGGTTCCACAGTGAGTATAACAAGCATGCTTTACAACATATACAGACTGATTGTACTGTTGTGGGTTTAGCAACACTTTGAGTTCTCTGTGATATAAAATTAACGCAATCCCCAAAAGAAGAACTGCAAAAAGCAAAGATTTTTTTTTTTGCAATGGAAATGTTACATTTTTCTACTGCAAAAAAAAAAAAAAGCTTCTTTTTCAATTTTTCACAGCAGTACTTTAGATTCAATGTAAGAACTTCTCGATGCTAATAAATGGCATTAGTGGTTGTTCTCACTGCTCCCTTTCAGCACTCTCCCATCAAGGATGTTACCTTGAGACAGGGCAAATGTTCCATGTGTATTTTCCCCAGCAAGATCTAACATTTAATATTTAGGAATTACCTGCATTCCTTCACTACTTTCCTTTCCTCATCATTCCATAGACTGGCGTTTAGACATGTGCAGAATGAAAAAATGTGTTAGGTTTCATTTCCGATCGGTTTAAGTTACCAATTTTGTTTGTTGCATTTGGAAAAAAATCCGTTTAGTTTAGTTTCATTTTGTTTATCTATTTTCTGTCAGATTACATTTTTTTCCATGGATTTGAAGTATTTGAATCGAATTCACACAGAAAATATTGAATTGATCCAAATTCATTGTGAAGAATAGCCGGTTCTATTCTATTTGAAATTCGATTTTCGGGAGACAGCTATATTATTATTATTATACAGTATTTATAAAGCGCCAACAGTTTGCTCAGCGCTGTACATTACAAAGGGGGACAGTACATGCGACAGTACAATAACAATACAATACACGAGCGGTTCGAGGGCCCTACTCCTTGGAGCTTACAATCTAGGAGGGAGGGGATAGTGGTACAGGAGGAAAATCTGTGGGGGATGGAGTGGTAGGAGAGTAGAGGAGGTCGGGAATTAGCAGGGGGTGAGGTAGTGGGGTAGGCTTCTCTGAAGAGGTGGGTTTTCAGGGTGCACCTAAAGGAGAGGAGAGTAGGTGATAATCTGATGGGTTGGGGCAGGGAGTTCCAGAGGATGGGTGACACCCTGGAGAAGTCCTGGAGGCGGGCATGGGAGGAGGAGACCAGGGAACTAGAGAGAAGGAGGTCTTGTGAGGAGCGGAGTGTGTGTGCTGGGCGGTACTTGGATATTAGGTCAGTGATGTAGTTTGGGGCAGTATGGTGGACGGGTTTGTACGTCAGTGTTAGGATTTTGAATTTGATCCGTTGCGCAATCGGAAGCCAGTGGAGGGATTGGCAGAGGGGGGTGGCGGAAACGGAGCGGTTGGAAAGGTGAATGAGTCTGGCAGCCGTATTCAGGATCGACTGAAGCGGGGATAGCCAGCGGCAAGGCAGGCCAGTGAGGAGGGAGTTGCAGTAGTCGAGTCGTGATATGATGGGGGAGTGGATGAGCTGTTTAGTGGTTTCTGGGGTTAGGAACGTGCGGATTTTGGCGATGTTGCGGAGGTGGAGTCTGCACGAGTTTGTTAAAGATTGGACTTGGGGCTGGAAGGATAGGTTGGAGTCCAGAATGACACCAAGTACTCTGGCCTGCGGGGCGGGCCTGATAGTGGCGTTGGACATGATAGAGAAGTCAATGGGGGGTGGTGTCCGGGCTGGGGGGAAGACAAGAAACTCAGTTTTGGAGAGGTTCAGTTTAAGGAAGTGGAGCGACATCCAGTCTGATATGTCATTCAGTAGGTGTGTGATTCGGGCAGAGACCGAGGGGGTGAGGTGGGGGGTTGAGAGATAGATTTGTGTGTCGTCGGCATAGAGGTGGTAGTTGAAGCCGTGAGAGTGTATGAGTTGGCCAAGGGAGGAGGTGTAGATGGAGAAGAGAGAGGGGGCCCGAGGACAGAGCCTTGAGGGACCCCAACAGAGAGTGGGAGTGAGGGGGAGGTGGTAGCATTATATTCTTTCTATTTCATTCTATTCTATTCAAATCGATGCTTTTTTTTTTCCATTCTCATCTATTTTTTTTATTCTATTCTCTTCTTTTATTTTCTGTACTGTTTTACTCTATTTTCCATTCTATTCCAAATTTCAGAAGATGGCTATATTCTTTCTAATTTATTCTATTCTTTTCTGATTTATGCTTTTGTATTCTATTATTTAGGGAATATCTGATTGCCTCTCGGGGGATCAGGAAGGATTTTTTACCCTGCTGGGAGCAAATTAGATCATGCTTTGCTGGGGTTTTTTTGCCTTCCTCTGGATCAGCTGTGGGTGTAGGATTATAACTTTTTTTTTTGTTGTTGAACTGGATGGACTTTTGTCTTTTTTCAGCCAAACTATATTTTATTTTCTATTCTATTTTATTCTATTATATTCTTTTTGAAATGTGAGTTTTTAAAGATGGCCATATTCTTTCTAATTTATTCTATTCTTTTCTGATCTATGCTTTTCTATTCTATTATTTAGGGAATATCCGATTGCCTCTCGGGGGATCAGGAAGGAATTTTTTCTCTTGCAGGAGCAAATTGAATCATGCTTTGCTGGGGGTTTTTTTTTGCCTTCCTCTGGATCAGCTGTGGTTGTAGGATTATAACTTTTTTTTTTGGTTGAACTGGATGGATTTTTGTCTTTTTTTCAGCCAAACTATATTTTATTTTCTATTCTATTTTATTCTATTATATTCTTTTTGAAATGTGAGTTTTGAAAGATGGCCATATTCTTTCTAATTTATTCTATTCTTTTCTGATCTATGCTTTTCTTTTCTATTGTATTTTATTATTTAGGGACTATCCGATGGTCTCTCGGGGGATCAGGAAGGAATTTATTGTCCTGCAGGAGCAAATTGGATCATGCTTTGCTGGTTTTTTTGCCTTCCTCTGGATCAACTGTGGGTGTAGGATTATAACTTTTTTTTTTTAATGGTTGAACTGGATGGACTTTTGTCTTTTTTCAGCCAGATTAACTATATTTTATTTTCTATTTATTTTATTTTATTTTATTCTACTATATTCTTTTTAAATTGTGAGTTTCAAAAGATGTTTATATTCTTTCTATTTTAATCTATTTATTTTTATTTTATTTATTTATTTCAGGTACTTATATATCACCATCAATTTATGCAGCACTTTACATATATATTGTACATTCACATCAGTCCCTAACCCTCAAGGGGTGTACAATCTAAGGTCCCTAACTTACATTCATACATACACATACTAGGGACAATTTAAAAAGGATCCAATTAACCTACCAGTATGTCTTTGGAGTGTGTGAGGAAACCGGAGTACCTGGAGGAACCCACGCAGACACACGGAGAACATGCAAACTCCAGGCAGGTGGTGCCGTGGTTGAGATTTGAACCAACAACCCGAGTACTGCCAGGCAGAAATACTAACCATTTAGCCACTGTGCTGCCCCATTCTATTCTATTATATTATATTTTTTTCTATTCTATTCTTTTACTTACTTTCTATCCTTTTATATTCTATGTTATGTTATTCTATTCTGTTTTATTCTACTCTATTCTTGTCGAAATTAGAATTTAGAAAGATAGCTTTATTCGAAACTAATACACATAGCCTTTGAAGGAAATCAGCAATAGTCAGCAATATGTTTATATTTAAAATTTGCTCGATTCGAATTTGATTTTAATTTCGGACAAAATTTTGTTTCGTTATTTTATGTTTAAATTAGTTACTACTGTAATTCGGAAATTCGGATACATCTGAATCTCTAAATAATGAAGATTTTGTCCAAATTTCAATTCGGAACAAAACAAACTGCACATATCTACTGGCATTGGTAGTAGTAGTTGGTTGAAAACCGTTCACCATTTATCCAATTGACTTCTTCATTTTAAACCATTTTTGGCCTGAGGAAGCCTCTTGGGTAAGTGATGAAACATCTTTATCTGTTTCTCACTGTTTCCCCAGTGTCCTTAATCACTGCCCCAGTGTAGTCCCTAATAGATAATGCAGCTAGCCCCTGTCACCTGTTCCAGTGCACACAAAACACCCCCATACACAATACTAATTTCCTAATCACCGCCATACTAGTGCCATGATCACCACCATATGCCATACCAGTGTCCTGATCACCTCCATACCCCATACCAGCATCCTGATCACCTCCATACCCCATACCAGCGTCCTGATCACCTCCATACCACATACCAGTGTCCTGATCACCACCATACTCCATACCAATGTCCTGATCACCTCCATACCACATACCAGTGTCCTGATAACCACCATACCCCATACCAGTGTCCTGATCACCTCCATACCACATACCAGCATCCTGATCACCTCCATACCCCATACCAGTGTCCTGATCACCTCCATACCACATACCAGTGTCCTGATAACCGCCATACCCCATACCAGTGTCCTGATCACCTCCATACCACATACCAGCATCCTGATCACCATCATACCACATACCAGTGTCCTGATCACCTCCATACCACATACCAGTGTCCTGATCACCTCCATACCACATACCAGTGTCCTGATAACCGCCATACCCCATACCAGTGTCCTGATCACCTCCATACCACATACCAGCATCCTGATCACCTCCATACCCCATACCAGTGTCCTGATCACCTCCATACCACATACCAGTGTCCTGATAACCGCCATACCCCATACAAGTGTCCTGATCACCTCCATACCACATACCAGTGTCCTGATAACCGCCATACATCATACCAGTGTCTTGATCACCACCATACCACATACAAATGTCCTGATCACCACCATACACCATACCAGTGTCCTGATCACCACCATACCCCATACCAGTGTCCTGATCACTGCCATACCCCATACCAGTGTCCTGATCACCTCCAAACCCCATACCAGTGTCCTGATCACCACCATACCCCATACCAGTGTCCTGATCACCACCATACCCCATACCAGTGTCCTGATAACCGCCATACCCCATACCAGTGTCCTGATCACCACCATACCCCATACCAGTGTCCTGATCACCGCCATACTAGTGCCATGATCACCATCATATGCCATACCAGTGTCTTGATCATCTCCATACCGCATACCAGCGTCCTGATCACCTCCATACCCCAGACCAGTGTCCTGATCACCACCATATCTCATACCAGTGTCGGACAAAATTTTGTTTTGTTATTTTATGTTTAAATTAGTTACTACTGTAATTCGGAAATTCGGATACATCTGAATCTCTAAATAATGAAGATTTTGTCCAAATTTCAATTCGGAACAAAACAAACTGCACATATCTACTGGCATTGGTAGTAGTAGTTGGTTGAAAACCGTTCACCATTTATCCAATTGACTTCTTCATTTTAAACCATTTTTGGCCTGAGGAAGCCTCTTGGGTAAGTGATGAAACATCTTTATCTGTTTCTCACTGTTTCCCCAGTGTCCTTAATCACTGCCCCAGTGTAGTCCCTAATAGATAATGCAGCTAGCCCCTGTCACCTGTTCCAGTGCACACAAAACACCCCCATACACAATACTAATTTCCTAATCACCGCCATACTAGTGCCATGATCACCACCATATGCCATACCAGTGTCCTGATCACCTCCATACCCCATACCAGCATCCTGATCACCTCCATACCCCATACCAGCGTCCTGATCACCTCCATACCACATACCAGTGTCCTGATCACCACCATACCCCATACCAATGTCCTGATCACCTCCATACCACATACCAGTGTCCTGATAACCACCATACCCCATACCAGTGTCCTGATCACCTCTATACCACATACCAGCATCCTGATCACCTCCATACCCCATACCAGTGTCCTGATCACCTCCATACCACATACCAGTGTCCTGATAACCGCCATACCCCATACCAGTGTCCTGATCACCTCCATACCACATACCAGCATCCTGATCACCATCATACCACATACCAGTGTCTTGATCACCTCCATACCACATACCAGTGTCCTGATCACCTCCATACCACATACCAGTGTCCTGATAACCGCCATACCCCATACCAGTGTCCTGATCACCTCCATACCACATACCAGCATCCTGATCACCTCCATACCCCATACCAGTGTCCTGATCACCTCCATACCACATACAAGTGTCCTGATCAACTCCATACCACATACCAGTGTCCTGATAACCGCCATACCTCATACCAGTGTCTTGATCACCACCATACCACATACAAATGTCCTGATCACCACCATACACCATACCAGTGTCCTGATCACCACCATACCCCATACCAGTGTCCTGATCACTGCCATACCCCATACCAGTGTCCTGATCACCTCCAAACCCCATACCAGTGTCCTGATCACCACCATACCCCATACCAGTGTCCTGATCACCACCATACCCCATACCAGTGTCCTGATAACCGCCATACCCCATACCAGTGTCCTGATCACCACCATACCCCATACCAGTGTCCTGATCACCGCCATACTAGTGCCATGATCACCATCATATGCCATACCAGTGTCCTGATCATCTCCATACCGCATACCAGCGTCCTGATCACCTCCACACCCCAGACCAGTGTCCTGATCACCACCATATCTCATACCAGTGTCCTAATCACCTCCATACACCATACCAGTGTCCTGATCACCTCCATACCCCATACCAGTGTCCTGATCACCACCATAAACCATACCAGTGTCCTGATCACCACCATACCCCATACCAGTGTCCTGATCACCACCTTACACCATACCAATGTCCTGATCACCACCATACGCCATACTAGTGCCATGATAACCACCATATGCCATACCAGTGTCCTGATCACCAGCATACCCCATACCAGTGTCCTGATCACCACTATACCCCATACCAGTGTCCTGATCACCTCCATACCCCATACAAATGTTCTGATCACCTCCATACCCCATACCAGTGTCCTGATCACCACCATACATCATACCAATGTCCTGATCACTGCCATACCTCATACCAGTGCCCTGATCACCACCATACCCCATACCAGTATCCCGATCTCTTCCATACCCCATACCAATGCCCTGATCACCCCATATGTCATATCAATGTCCTGATTACCACCATACCCCGTACCAATATCCTGATCACCACCATACCCCGTATCAATAACCTGATCACCACTATACCCCATACCATTGTCCTGATCACCACCATACCCCATACCGATGTCCTGATCACCACCATACCCCATACCAATAACCTGATCACCACCATACCCCATACCAATGTCCTGATCACCACCATACCCCATACTAATGTCTCAATTAACACCATACCCCATACCAGTGTCTGATCACTCCATATGTCATACCAGTTTACTGATCACAGCCATACCCCATACCAATGTTCTGATCACTACCATACCCCATACCAGCACCCTAATCACTGATACCCACCATACCTCATGCCTATGTCCTGATCACTGTTATACCTCATACCAACATCCTGACCACTGCCATACGTCATACCAGTGTCCAGCCTTTAAGGGTCATGTCTGATCAATTTTCAGATATATGTCCCATAGTTTTAGACTTTATAACATTCACACAGACTAAATAATATATACTGTTTTGGGTTATTTTTACCAAAAAAAAAAGTAGCAGAATACATTTTGGTCTAAATTTATGAAGAACAAAATCTAAGCAAAAAAAAAATCCCAGTGGTGATCAAATACCACCAAAAGAAATCTCTATTTGTGTGAAATAAAATGATTAAAAATGTCATTTGGGTACAGTCTTGCATGACCACGCAATTGTCCTTCAAAGTGTGACAGCGCTAAAAGCTGAAAATGCTTGGGCAGGAAGGGGGTGAAAGGGTTCAGACTTGTAATGGTTAATGTTATAAAGTCTAATTATGCTCTATCTGACCAGTTACTACCAGCTATGTCATGACCTGGATACATGAGACTGAGTACTTAGTGTCCTTTGTGGAAATTTAGATGACCTGTCTGGTTAGTTCAGGTTGTCTTAGAATAGCTGCAAACTCATTTACCAATAATCATAAGGGGCACTCAACTTTTTGGAGTGAGGATTATTTAAGTGATTTGGTAACCGGTCATGGGCCACAATGAAATTTAATGGTTCAGAATTTCACATTTTTTATTTTGAATAGCACAATGAACATCTTCCTGCAGCTGCTGAATGCCAGAGAGAGGGAGAGAAGGGGGAGCCAGCTTTCAGTGGTTGCAGGAAAATAATATAGTTTTTTGTTTCATTTTCTGTCTTTTTTCATTTATAGCGCAAAAAAACAAGAAACCCAATGGTGATCAAATACCATCAAAAGAAAGCTCTATTTGTGGGGAAAAAAAAAGTTATAAAATTTTCCATGGGTACAGTGTTGCATGACTGAGCAATTACTAGTCAAATTAGCGCAGTGCCAAACAGCAAAAAATAGCCTGGTCATGAACGAGGTAAAACCTTCTGGAACTGAAGTGGTTAAATAAAATCAGTATGCATACCAATTTCCAGGTGTCTTCATTTCAGGCAGGTGATATCACAGGTTCTCTTTCTCTCGTAGTGGGCAGAACCAAATGGTGCAGAGAGCAGTGGCACGTCATTACAAAGCTGCTCCCTGAAGAATTCTCCTGTGAGTTTAGGAAACAGAAAATGTCAAGCCACCTGGCTCTTTCTTCAGAAACACTGCTGCTCTTGTCTCCGGTCCTTTAGACTAGCCTTTCTCAACCAGGGTGCCCAGGCACCCTGTGGTGCCTTGAGGTTTCTTCAGGGGTGCCTTGGCAAAATCTATGGAAATTGCCCAAAACGTGTATCCCTGCCCCTTCCAGCAGCATGCAGCCTCCTTCAGATCTCATGGTGGAGCTGACCAGATCACTTGTGTCCTTTCTTCCGGGGTGCGGCTATGCCTTCCTGAAAATTTCCGCCCTAGGCAAATGCGTTGTTTGCTTCATGGTAAATACCCACTGGTTGTCACCCTATCAAACAGGTTTCTGCTGGACGAATGGCAATTTTAACACATTATGAAGTCATGGTCCACTGTTGTCACCAACAGGAAACTCACCCTGAGAATTGCCAAGTAGCCACTGCTGGAGTGCATGTAGCCAGGAAGTAATGTTATGGGAAATTGGGTAAAGTACTAGGGCAGCCTTTCTCAACCAGGGTGCCCAGGCACCCTGGTGTGCCTTGAGGTTTCTTCAGGGGTGCCTTGGCAAAATGACTAAAAATTGCCCAAAACTTGTATACAAGCCAGTGGGTGGAACAAGCCTGCCTTTTAGTTACACAAAGCCTCAGATTTTCATTGTGCACCATCATGACCTTCTAGCCGCCAGCATCCTGACAACTATTGACATCATCAGTTGATAAGGAGGATGTCAGCTGCCTGCACAGCATCATAGTTTGACCCTCCCCTGCCCCTCTCCATCAGTGCTGGGGTCACATTAGCTCAGTGATGGAGAAAAACTGAAAGAGAGGAGAAACACTAGTGTCAGGGATCACGGCGCCGGAATCCTGCATCACGGCGCCGTCCCCCCCCGCGCATGCGCACTGGCGGCGAGCCGCGGCTGACAGGACGCCGCGCATGCGCAGTAGAGAGTCGAGGGCGCGCCTCAGGCGTCCAATGACAGCCGGGGGCGCGTCCCAGCCAGCCAATGACAGTGCAGGGCGCACTATTTAAAGATGCCCTGCACTGTCACCCATTGCCGCAAGGTCTTATGTGATCCTGGATACCTGCTCCTGTTCTGTGACCCTGTTTTCAACCCTGACTACGCTGCCTGCTCCTGTGTTTGACCTGGCTTGTCCTGACTACGCTGCCTGCTCCTGTGTTTGACCCGGCTTGTCCTGACTACTCTGCCTGCTCCTGCGTTTTGACTCGGATATCCTGACTATTCTACGGACTGATTTACCTGGCTGACCCTGCATGTGACCTGACTACTCCTTGCCCGCTGATTTGGTACCCCGCTTACCCCCCACGGAACCACTATCCGTGCCACCCTTCTGGGGCCGTCATCCGCCTCATATCTGGCTCTCCCGGTACCTACACGCATCCCGGGAGGCCTTCCCAGCCGCTGGTGGGCCCGCCCAGAGGTCGTGACCTGGCCCGGGACTGTTTCAGTCCATCCCCACCATCAGGGGCCCTGGTGAAGGCACAGCCCGGGCTTAGACCCCACGCTCTGGGTTGGTCTATCAGTTGGCAGCCGGAAGGCTCCGCCTGGCGGATCATAACAGTACCTTGCGGCCATGACAGAGCCAGGAGGTGGACCGGCGTCCCTAGAGGATATTTGCCAGCACCTGGCAACTTTGACCCAGGCCTTCCAGAACTTCCACAGTCGCTGCGCCCGACTGGAAGACCGCATGGAGACATTAGCCCCCCAGACTCCCCCTGCTCAGAGTCCCGCGTCTGGGGAACCTCCCGCTACCCCGACATCCGGAGCGGTTGCCACACCCTTAGCTCCTGAGCCCCGCGTTCCCCTGCCGGAACGGTTCCGTGGTGACCGGAGCCGCTTCCGAGCCTTCCGGAATGCTTGCACACTTTATTTTGACTTGCAGCCCCGCACATTCTCCTCCGAGACCGTCAGGGTGGGGTTTATAGTCTCTCTCCTTCAGGATGAGCCCCAGGATTGGGCTCACCGTCTGATGGAGAGGCGTGACCCCCAGCTTGACTCCGTGACCAAGTTCTTTCAGGCCATGGCAGTATTGTATGACGACCCTCAGCGGGCTGCCTCCGCAGAGGCTACCCTGTACTCACTGCGGCAGGGCCGCCGGGCAGCCGAAGAATACGCGTCCGACTTTAGGCGATGCATGGGAGACACCAGATGGAACGATGCGGCCTTATGTCACCAGTTCCGCATCGGGCTGTCTGAGTCTCTCAAGGACGAACTAGCATGAGTAGGCCTACCAGACTCCCTGGAAAGACTGATTGAGTTGGCCATCCAGATTGACCGTAGGTTAAGGGAACGTCGGCTGGAAAGGAGCAACCAGGGTCAAAGGGTGGCATGGATCCCACCGAGAGACACAGCTCCAACCCCAGGGAACCATCCCCGAGGCACGGAATCGGGGGACAACCCGGAACCCATGCAGCTGGGACTGGCCCGTTCCCACTTGTCGGTCGAGGAACGTCAAAGGAGACGAGCGCTGAACCTATGCCTGTACTGCGGGGAAGCTGGTCACCAGGTGCGCTCCTGTCCTGCAAAGATGAGTAAGTCCGCTTCCTTTTCTTTTACTTTACCCGCAGGAAGGGATGATCAGTCCAATTACCTGGCCATACCTGTGTCTTTGCAGCTCCCGGGGGAAGAACACTATCGGTGACCGCAATCGTTGACTCTGGAGCTTGTAGTTGCTTTGTCGACCTGACTTTTGCCCACCGGCAAAAAATACCACTGCAGACCAAGGAAAGGGGGTTCAACATCTTCTTGGCAGACGGCTCCAGTATAAAATCAGGGGTGGTGGACCAGGAGACACCACCCATTTTTACCACAATAGCAGACCATCACCAGGAGTTCCTCCGTTTGGATGCCATCGCATCACCCCTATTTCCAGTCATTCTGGGGCTCCCTTGGCTGCGGGCCCATAACCCCCAGATTGACTGGGAAAGGGGAACGATTCAATTTAGGTCACCCCTGTTTGAATCACTGCCAGGTCACGGGATCCGTGGGTCCCCGGGTCCTCCTGTGCTTGGACGGTGATGCCAATCTATCCCAGACTATTCCCCGGCCTACCATGACTTCTTGGACGTTTTCAGTAAGCGGGGGGCTGACGTTCTTCCCCCACACCGTTCTTACGATTGTCCTATAGACCTCCTACCCGGATCTGAGATCTCGTTCGGCCGGATCTTTCCCTTGTCAGAAACGGAATCGGGTGTACTGAGGGAATATATTGACGAGAACCTGCGGAAGGGGTTTATTCGTCCTTCCACATCCCCAGCCGGGGCCGGGCTGTTCTTCGTAGAGAAGAAGGACAAATCGTTACGGCCCTGCATAGACTACCGTGATCTAAACAAGATAACGGTAAAGAACCGTTATCCCTTACCGTTAGTCCCCGAGCTCCTCCAGAGATTGAAATCGGCAATGATATTCACTAAACTAGACCTGCGGGGGGCCTATAACCTTGTCCGTATCAGGGAGGGGGATTGAGTGGAAGACTGCCTTCCGTACGAGATTCGGTCACTACGAATATCTAGTGATGCCATTCGGGCTCTGTAATGCACCGGCAACCTTCCAGCATTTCATCAACGATGTTTTTCGTGATTTCCTCGATGTCTTTGTAGTAGTTTATTTGGATGACATCCTAATTTTCTCCCCTT